TGGGGCATCTGTCTCGCTACTGAGCCTCAACATTCTTTTGTGAGTAAGTTTCTTCTAATCAGACAGAGTAGATTCAGACACAGACATCACCACAAGCAAATGGTTATAACTGGACAGAACAAAAGCTCTTCTAACAGATAGAATAAGATAACTCACAACATGTCAATCATCTATGAAATTGATTCATAAAAATTAAACATTACCCGGAGCCTCAGCTTGTAGGCAGCAATTGTTATTGAACCAACAGTGTGGTTAGTAATGGTTCCTGACTTTATAGTGAGTTGGTTATCACGGCCAAGTTTAGATTTCTTCTTACGTCGTTCCCTGTTCCAATGTTTATTAATTATCTCATTCCAATGCTCTGCACTTAACCACAGTGGTACATATCCCTTCCAATTAGCTACATTTTCAGACCCACTATTTTCCTTAGCCTTATTTCGAGCCAAACAAAATATGTCCACAGCCGATCAATTGAGGCAGTATTCCATGCTTTCTCCACTTTGTTCTCCTTATTTTTTTGCCATGAGTATTGCTGCTAATGTAGGTACCAACCATTAGTATGAAATAAAAAATGTATAAGGACAATAAGTATATTTAGATGAAATTTATATTACCTGAAATCTTTCACGTAAGAATTTTTTTTTGTGTCATATGGTCGACTGATTTACGTTAACTGGCCTAAAGCTCATTACAGTGGTCAGTTTAGTCACTTAATACACAAGAGTCTGCACATAAGATACCATATTTGAGAAAACTGACATAAAAACCAATATGCTAAAATTCAGGGGGAGAAAAGAAATATATCCATGTTATTTAGCTCTTTTTACGGTCATAATCATCTTATGGGTTTGACTTTCATTAGTAAGGGAAGATAGTTATTTGACAATAATTTTCGCTATTCCTTCTCACAAATCTAAGGTTTCGAGTCATGATTACGAGAACATAGTGACACTTAACACACGTGAGTCACGTATACACTTTTACTCCATTTTGAACTTAATTAGTACGTGGGGAATTGTTTTTCTTGATAATGCTAAGTCTAATTCGGGATTAGTCCTTGTTAATATGGAAAAAGAACTAAGTGATGAATGGATTCTTGACTCAGGTTGTTCCTTCCATATGTGCCAAAATAAAGATTGATTTCTTGATTTTAAAAGGGCTGCTGGAGGGCAAGTGACAATTTTACGTGTAAAATCAGAGGAATATGGACTATAAAATTGTTATTGGAAAATGAAAATGTTTTATTTCTTAAAGAAACTAGGTATACAAATATGGGTATGTTAGATGATATGGAGTTTAATATAAATATGGATCAAAGAGATATTTAAATTCTTAGGGGCAATGATTTAATCATAAGTACCCCTAAAAGATATGGTCTCTATTTTTTGAAAGCAAAATCCCTACTTGACTTAACCGCTTCTTCTGTATATGAACAGTTTACACTTGCAAAATTATGGCATTATAGACTTGGCCACATTGACAAGAAGGCTTTAAATTCTTTACAATCAAAAGGAGTTTTTGGAAAGCAAAATCTTGGTGATTTTAGTTCTTGTGAACAATGTATTATAGGGAAACAAGTCAAACCAACTTTTCCAACTCGAATTCATAAATCCAAACGAATATTTGAATATTTACGCTCTGATTTGTGGGGTCCTGCTACTGTGTGTACTTTATCTGATTTTAAATATTTTTTGCCGATCATTGATGATTATTCTAGGAAAATTTGGGTTTTCTTATTAAAAACTAAAGATGAAACTTTTTCAACTTTTAAGAATTGGAAAACCAAACTGAACACAATATAAAGATTTTGAGGACTGAAAATAGTTTGGAATTTTGCAATCATGAATTCAACAACTTTTGTAAAGAAAATGGTATTTTGAGATATAGAACTGTTACTTATGTTCCTTAACAAAATGTAATAGCTGAAAGAATGAATATGACTTTATTAAATAAAATTAGATACATGCTATTGAGTTCTGGTTTGCCTAGATTGTTTTAGGGTGAAGCTGTTTAAACTGCTGCATGTCTTATTAATAGAAGTCCTACTAAAGTTTTAAATTTTCATGAACCTGAATCTGTATGGCCTGATGGTCTGTGAATTATTCTCATTTAAAGGTTTTTGGTTGTGCTGCATATGCTCATCAAAATATGAAAAATTGGAACCCAGGTCTCTTAAATGTGTTTTCTTGGATTATGATGAACATGTTAAAGGCTACAGATTATGGGTTAAATGTGAAAAGGGATATAGAGTCATTGTTAAAAATGGATGTTATTTTCAATGAGTCTTTAATGCCATGTTTACAAAGAAAAGATAAAGTTTTGTTTAATAAAGATGTTCAAATTGAGGTGGACCCTCCTCAAATTGAACCAGCTAACCCTGTACCTCTAGTAGATGAAGCTGGTATTGAACCTAAAATTGAAATTGATGAGACTGATGAATTTGATCATGCTGTTCTCTTTTCTGATGAGTATCAACTCACAAGAGATAGGGAAAGGAGGCAGATCGGACCTCTTACTAGATTTGATAGTGATGATTTTGTTTCATTTTTCACTTATCAAGAACAATTTGAAAATGAGCTAAACTCCTATGATGATGTCATTAAGTGTAAGGAAAGTAAAAATTGAAAAGCTGCTATGAAAGATGAAATGTCTTCACTTTTGAAAAATAAGACTCGTGAACTTGTTAAGAGGCCTAAAGGGCAAAAACTTATTGATTGTAAGTGGATTTATAAAATTAAACAAGGGGAATGATATAATAAAAACATTATATATAAAGCTAGACTAGTTGTAAAGGGTTTTACTCAAAAAAAAAAATGTGTTGATTACACTGAAATCTTTTCTCCGTTGTGAAATATTCCACTGTTCTTGCTTTAGTTGCACAGTTTAAATGGGAATTTGATCAAATGGATGTTAAAATTGCTTTCTTGTATGGTGATTTAGAT